TCCACAACCCCCCAACCAACCCCCTAAGCCCCTCCCCCGTCTGTCCAAAATCGGGGAACGCATTAACCTCCAGCAGCCACGTCGTCCCCAGCTCATCAACGAGGAAATCCACACCAAAGACTTCAAAAGCATTCGGTAACGTCTGGAAATGGATGAGCATCCCTTTGGCGGCTGCTTCGAAAAGGTCTCCTGTGAGGGCGCATATCTGGTCGAAGATTTTATCTTGGCGCGGGATGTTTAGGGACCAGAAGGAGGAGACGGGGTTGTAGGGTTTTGCGGCAGTTGGGGAAGAGGGAGTAGTAGTGCTGGAAGAAGAGGATTGGAGACAGGTGTTTGTCAAGTGTGCTAGGAGATCGGAGGGGGATGAGGAGAAGGTCGGTGGAGTGTAGGGTGTTGATGCGAAGAGGGCGAGCGTGGGTTTGTAGACGTAGATCTTTAGGGAGCCGAAGGCTAGGACGTAGGTTCGGATGTGGAATTTGGTGGGGAGGCCGGAGGGGCCGGGGAGCAGGAGGGGACGCGAGATGTATGGTTGTGCGATGAAGTGGCGGAGGTGAGAGGTCATAATTGTATCTCTCTCTTCTTCCTCTTTTGGTTTCTTTGTCGTTTCGAAATCGGAGTCTTCTTCTTCCTCGTCTGTATCAGGTTGTCCCTCCTCCCATTCTTCGAATATCGATTGTAATTCTTCTTCCGAGCTAAACAACCGTATCCCCTGTCCACGATCACTCATTCCAGGTTTCAAAATCCACCATTCCCTCTCACTCGGTGCCTTGCCCTCATTTCTTGCGAAGCTCTCCTTGAGCTCCCACGCTTCGACCAAGGCATCGTCCAAAAACTCCGCGTAGTCCAGTTCGAAATCACACGAGGGCTTTATGTTAGTAGCTAGGATAGACGACGGGTGTTTCGCGATCCAGTTCTCGCGCGTGGTGTTGAGATAGTGTTTTCGGATCAGGGCTTTGCGGATGATGTAGGCGTTTGTGAGGGAGGTTGTGGGATGGCTCATGATGTGGGAGAAGGGGAGAGATTCGTAGGCCCCGATTTGGAGGAAGGGTGTACTTGGTGTGGGGAGGTCGGATAGGGAGGAGATGAGGGTGTAGGAATTGGGAGGGAGTTGGGTTTTGAGTGCGTCTAGGATTAGAGGTTGGACATATTTGTCCTCGTAGTTTATGAGGGCGTAGAAATGCTTGGATGGATTAGGAGGAGCTTCCAAGGGCAACTTATCCATGGTGGGTGTTGGTGATCTGGGGGAATGGTCAGATAGTGATCGTTGGAAAAATGAGGAAATGTTCTTGTGTTAATCTATGTGGTCTATACTCTAAGTCCTTTCACTCACAGCTTCAACTCTCCCTGGGTTACTGCATCTGCATGCATAAAGTTTGCCTTTAGAGGTGTTACACTAAGAATGTTATTAGTATACATTTTCAAGAAAAATTGGGGATGTCACTGACCTTGAGTAGTGTTTTTTGATAGCCCATCCGTCATTCCCTGGACCAGCTGCTTCAACAGATTTATAGACGTCTGTAAATCGCGGTGCCCATTTGAAGTGTTTATGTGTATGGCGTGTAACATTCGTCTCCTCAACCTTATCTCCCGACTCCCCCTCTCTAATCTTCTCCTCTTCCTCTTCCGCATTTCCATCCTCATCCTCAACCTCCTTGAAGCAACTCCCATCACTCCAATAATTCTGCAACATATTCGTCCACATGATCTTCCTCGTCTCCACGCCCTCCACCAACGGCACATTGACCGAATAAACATCCACATCCTTCCCCCAATTATCATACAAATGCTGTATCAGCCTAGTAGAAAGCCTCGTCGCCGCAGCAACAATCTCCGGATCCTTCGCCGAATCTGGCTTCTTGGGGGTCTCCATGGAAAAGAACGCAAAACTAAGCGCAATAGCCTTCCTCCTACATATCGCCGCTTCCAGCGCACCCCCCAGCGTCCCAGAACTCAGACTGAAAACCGCCGTGCTATTTCTCCCAAAATTCGGTCCGGACACTACTAGATCAATTGGTCCGCGGTCTTTGAAGAAGTGGTATAAGCCGATTTGTACGCAGGATGCCGGTGTGCCGTCTACCAATACCCATTCCTCTTTTTGGTCCGAGCCTGCGGGCAGCGGTCTCGAGTGTGTTGTGCCGTCGTCCTGGTGCAATGTGCCGGGGCGGAAGTACGTTGGTTTGATAGTTTGGCCTACCATGTGGGCTTTTCCGATCCAAGATCTTTGGGTGTGTGGAAGAACGACGGAAACGACGTGACCGACATTTTGGAGGGCGACAACGAGGGAATGGACGAAGGGGGAGGAGAGTTGTGAAGGAGGACCGTCATCGTTGACTACCTGGGTAAAGTTAGAATGCAGGAAACACAGGGAAGAATAGATAACTTGGGGAATTGGTCTTGATGGGGCGTACGAGGATATGCATCTTGAATTATGTCTTCTCGGTATCGAGTGTTTTCAGCTTCGACTCTGGAAGTTTGTGTAGATATCGATGTTGGACTGGAAAAATAAATATGTACAGTACTGTACGAGTACTGAAGCGAACGCCCCACGAGAACAGCCTCGCGCGGGGGAGTTGAGCCACAGTCCCGGCCCGAAACTTGCCTGCCCCACCATGAAATCACCTTTGGCGCATCAACATGATTGTGATACCATACTCCTTACGTACAGAGGTACAATATTACTCCGTTTGTAGTTACTTGGACCAGTAAAAGAAGTCGATTCACTTCTCAACTCCTCTTCAACTTCGTTTTTCTCATGCAAAATGGTAGGAACATCCCTGATTGGTGGAGTGTAAAGTCACGTGTCACTCGGTTAGAAATTGTCTCGTTGTTTACTCCATACGGGGTTAAAATATCCCGAACTAAAGTGAATTGTTCTTATTGAGGGAGTGAGGTAGGATAGAAATGTTGATGGTGGTTGAAGGTGAGCTTATAGAAGAAGAGGAAGAGAAGTCCAATAAAGTATCTCAAAATACCATCCAGGTTACTTTATTTGTTTACCTTTCCCTTTCACCACTGCTCATGGAAAATGGCTGATGTCTTCCCATTCTGTAGATAACCACTTGATTTTTTCCTTGCCAAATAGGAGCTGATTTAGAGGATATTTTGGGACTGAAGATGGCAAGATATGAGGCTACTCAATGCTGGGAGACCTAATTGGGCGAATTAGTTATGTACTTTTGGTCTTGATTGAGGTTAATGGCTAGATTTACATATTATGACCATCTCATGGATTGACACTTTTAATATGCACTGCAGCTGGTGATATATATTACAGGAAACCGTTTTCGGATTGGGTAGACAGAATTGATCTTGCAGAAGATCTTCAGGTCGCTTTTGGCCCCCAGTCTCACGCCCACCCTGACCCCTGTGCTGTTCGGGTCATTGGACTAATCTGGACCAGCACCTGATACATTTCATTATACGAAGTCCTCATAAAAGAGAAATTCGCAGAGAACAAGTTGTGGATTAAGGATTGAGGGTTACTCCTATGGGAGTGCCATCGTGTGTTTTCTCATATGTCATGATGAGCTGAGATATGAGTAGATGTTTTTGATTTGAGAGTCACGCTGCTGTTTATTTGTTTCCCTGAAAAAAGCAAATACCCCGATGGTGGCTGAGAGAGCTGTAGCCCACGAATCAAAATGTCTCTTCTACCCATGTCTTTCTATTTTTGGGGTGGTGTGACGAGGGTTTTCAGCTTCCTTCTACCATTACGGCGATTCAAGGAATTTCCAAGTTCGAATTCCAACCTTCGAAGCAGAAAACCTGGAGCAGCAAACAAATCAATATGGGAACGCAACTGCTTTACAGCGCAGAGGATGTTGCTTCTATAGTAGCGGAGTATTCAAACCCTCTCTTCGCTTCACGAAATGCACTGATCACGAGGCTGTAGTATTGTGTTTGTACACGGCTTGAGAGGCGATCCGATTGCGACTTGGAGCGATGGCAAAGTTTGTTGGCCCAGAGACTTCCTTCGAGACGATGTTCCAAATACTCGAATCATGACGGTAAGCTCTACATATGCAATCCTTGCTTTGTCGCTAAGATTTTTCAAGTGGGGATACGATTCGAACATTGCGAGTGTGACGGAGTTTTCGAGCGCGAATAGTATATTTGGGCACGCAGAGAATCTGTTGTTTGATGTTGCAAGAAGGAGAAGGACAGCATCGGAGGTAGGTAATTTCTGATTACTTCGGCATACAGAAGATTGCTGAACCCTTTAGAAAACACGGCCGGTAATCTTTGTCGGCCACAGCTTTGGGGGTTTGGTGATCAAGGAGGCTTTGATCCGATCATCTGAATATCTTAATAACCAACAAGACATGGGCCTGGGGAGTATTTTCAAATATACATCTGGTGTTATTTTCTTAGGAACACCACATCGAGGTAGCGAAAAGACTGGCCTTGGGCAAATTGTAGCAACAATTGCGGCTGTGGCTCTTAGGCAACCAAACGATAAACTGCTGAAGAACCTAGAGAAAGAATCAGATGTATTGGAGAGACAGCGGAGGTCTTTCGCTTCTATTAGCAAAAACCTTCCCATTGTTTGCCTATGGGAAGAAAAGCCCATGGCAATTGGCATCGTGAGCTCAACCCTATCCATATTTATTACAGTAAGTAAGCTGACAAAGAGTAGATCGTTACCGAATGGTCCGCAACAATCGACGGTTTCAAAGTCAGAATGAATTCAATACCGGCAAACCACTCTGAAATGTGTAAATACAAAGACGCGAACACCATCGGGTATCAAAGGACTTCGGGATATATCATGAATCTCGTGGATATCTCTGTTGCTAGGATCTCTTCAGGTGTGTAACATTGCTCGTTTCCTATTTTATCTTCTGTCAGTCTCGGAGCTCCTACTTAGCTGATCAGATTTACTTCAGATCACGGAGTCGGAGCATCAAACCCTGGGGTAGATGTAGAATAAAGGATTAATTAGCTGTTTTTCAAACTCTTCATACCATTTATGAAATTTTAAAGATCAATGTTTCGTGCTCTGTAAATTCTGATGAGAGATTTGAGCTTAACGTTTGTTTCATATCTAGTTAACCGCCAACTTAAAGACGAAGAAGCAAAATGTAGCCAGATGGCTGTGAGATGTGAGTAAAGTCTTTTGCTTGAGTTATCTATCTAATGTTCTAATCCACCATCAAAGCTGTGCTTCGTACTCTCCAGTTTCGTGCCATGGACGACCGACACGACCAGATTGAGGAAGCCCATAAACAAACTTTTGAGTGGGTCTTTCGGAATGATTCATTTGTCGAATGGCTGGAGCATGGAAATGGCGTCTTTTGGATAAATGGAAAGGCTGGGGCAGGAAAATCAACTTTGATGAAGTTCTTGTTCAACGATCCTAGGACGAGACGTCACCTCGAAGTAGAGTCGTCGCAGGACCCATTAGTATTGGCTGGGTTTTTCTTCCACGATCGAGGAACCACACTTCAAAAATCGCAAACTGGTCTCCTCAAATCTATCTTGCATCAAATCATCGGGCATACCAGAGAGCTAGCGGCAGTAACCTGCGGAGAACGTTATTCTTCGGTTTACTCATTCTACCGAAAGAATCCAGACAAGCTTGTTTATGAGGATATCACAAAGGAGCCGATGCAACATGAATGGTCACGGGCTGAGCTACTTCGAACTTTCAAGAAGATCCTCCAGCAGAATGCATTTCCCGTAAGGCTGTATCTTCTGGTCGATGGCCTTGATGAGTATGAGGGAGACAAAGATGAACTTGTAGATTTGCTGCAAAATGTAGTATCTTCACTGGGACGCAATTCTCGCTTAAAATTATGCTTATCTAGTCGACCCTGGAACATCTTTCAAGATGCGTTTGGGGACGGACTCAATTTCCGGCTTCAAGACCTCACATACCGAGACATCAGCCTGTATGTTTCTGGCAGTTTGAGTAGTAGAGCAAGAGTGAGGGAGCTCGAAGTACTTGACGGCAACAGTACCTCGGAGCTTTTTGACGAGATTGTTCACAAAGCAGATGGCGTTTTCCTATGGGTCAAGCTTGTTGTCAAATCCCTCATAAACGGACTTCGCAATTATGACAGCATCGCTGATTTACGACTCCGACTGGAAGCATTTCCCAAAGATCTTGAGCCATTATATGAGCGAATGATTGGTGAGATCGACGAAATGTATGTCAAAGAAGCAGTGCAGCTTTTTTACATTATGCAGACAACCCGGAAGTCACCAAGGACACTCTCTCTATGGCGCACGAGTGAGGGACATCAAACGAAAGTTGTCGATGACAAACCTGAATATCTTACTGCTGAGGATCAGGTTGCAAGATGTATGGAGGTTGATGGCAGATTAAGAAGTCGATGCGCCGGGTTACTTGAGATCAAGTTCACAGGTATATATTCTTACGAAGAAACACTTCAATACGGTTCTCTTCAAGCAGAAACAAAGCTACCCCAAAGTCGCTTCGCTCTCGTGGAATCGACAGTACAATATCTTCATCAATCTGTCAAGGACTACTTCAAGAAGCCTGAAATAGTGTCTTTGTTGAGGCGTTTATGTCCAGATTTACAGTTTGAACCTCATGAATGGTTGCAACGAGCGTATTTGAGAGAGATCAGGGATTGTCTTGGGCACCCATTTCAGACCTTTATATCGAAACGAGAAAAAGAACCTGGAGTCGTCTGGGGCCCCTTGGATGAATACATGCATCATACGAGAGCCCTCGAGCTAAAATATGGAATTCCACAGACCAGGCAACTCAATAGAGTGGACACAATGCTTCAGCGAGAAAGGATGTCAGGCGTCATGTTAAAAACTGACGGCGATCCCCCTCACTGGTCTACTTGGAGTGGAGGACGAGTGGAGAACTACCCCGTCAACGTCCCAGTAGAATGGAAAACGTCTCTACTGACATTCGCTATTTTATCGGGGCTTGAAAAATCGGTTGAACGCACCATCTCACGACCAGGATTCATGATAAATCAGCATCCGGGAAGACCATTGCTGCACTACGCAATCAAAGCACAGCCTGGATATTCCTCTGTACCAGATAGTTTCAAAATGACACAATTGCTCCTCAAATACGGCGCGGATCCAACAATTCATTTCAATGAGGCGAGCGGTTCGTCTGCGTTGCATATTGTCACTAAAGAACTGCAGGGACCCTTGACTTGGGAGGATAAAGAATGTTTCTTAGTCATAAAAGAATTGATGGTGAGAGGGAACACATTCAGACGCCCACCATTGATGCTGCTACCTCCTACGCCAAAGTCACACTCAAGGGCTTCTTCCCAGGAGTCGAGTCAGAGCGCAAAGAGGACCACAGCATCGCGATTTAACAAGAACACCACACACGAATCCTCTACCCTCGAGATTCACGGGCCCAATGATGCTACAGGAGACGAAAGCGAGATGTTGACATTCGCGTGGCAGAATAATAAACTTTACGCAGAGCCAGAAGAGGAGGAGTCACACGAGCATCCCAAGATATCTCATACTTCCGAGACTTGGAATGGTGGGGTCCGTCCTTCACTGCAGCAGGCTGATAGAACGAGCACTGAAGAGAAATCTGGAAGTTGCTTTTGTTGCTTTAGGTGATGCTTTGGAGCTTGCGCATGCCTTTGTAAATGTATCCGTATATTGAAGTTGTATGTTTTGTGTTTCGAATGAGTTCTTTAGCACATGGCGATAATTGGGTCCAGATTCCACTCGTGGGAGACCAGGTCATTGCTCGCCATCCGTGTAACCTGGGAAGATAGCGTGCTAGAGGATGCGTTAAATGCACGACATTGCATCCTTGAATTTCTAATTTTCCTCCCTTGCAAATTTGAGAAATGAGTTTGCGTTTCCAAATCAGTGCAAGGCAACTATGCCATTAAGCTTACTTCAATGTGCAAAATAGCAGTGTCCAATAGCTTCATTCCCATCGTTCAAGTTCTCAGTGTCAATGTAATTATAGAGTCAAATGTCGGACCAGTCGGGTGCTACTAGGGGCGTACAAGGAACATCCTAGACTAAGGTTAAAAATGATCGCAAAGAGCGAAGAGATAGTGGGTCTTAGCGCTATTCATGCCATTGCCAGACAAGCTGCTCTTATCCCTCATTCTCATTCACCCATATTACCCCTCCATGAACACCCTTAAAATAACAAGCGGTGCCCACTACACAAATCCCCTTGAAAAACCACCAAAAGAATAAAAGATGGCAACAAGATCCAACACCTATCTAAGGAGCGCAGTGGACCTAAAACCAGACGTACTGGGTTTTATATTATTGTATAATTTATAAGGACTATATGATTTTACAAGGCTAGTAAAGTGAACCTTAGGGCATTTCTCGAACCGCTAGACCATTGCAGTTGCCTAGGGTACCATCAACAGGTGTGTAGTTGGTGGATTTGCTTGAGGGAGGGTTATCTTATCTTATAAAGCTGAGTGGTGCGGTGGGACGGGTAGGGGCAGGTAAGTCCTGGCCCAATTATGTTTTGGGGGTGGGGTAAAATGCTGGTATTCACTGATGGGTTGATTGATAGGGTCTGAGTTCTTAGCACTGAATTTGTTTGTGTGGTACGTGTACTACCCAAAGCCTTTGGAAAAGGATCTTGGAGCTGAGAGAATTTGTAGAAGCTTCTGGAGTTAGACAGTAAAACCAAATTAAACTAGAGGTCTAAGTCCATCTTCTGTCTAATTAGCGCCTTAAGTAGATGTATACTAACGAACAGGCCATTATTTTCTTCATGCTTACTCTCAAAAACACCTGTAACATCTTTCTCGAAGAAGCACAGCGCTAAATCCTGCTGGAAGAGCGAAGTACCTGCAATTTTCTGTTCCTTGCGATCCATCGACACTTTCACTGCTCTATGCGAATCTGGGAGCCCGACTACATCCTCCACCGACTGAAATGCATCAAGAAGAATTCGAAATGCCTTGTGTATTTTGCACACCTCATTACTAGAATCGATGTCGCTCAACTGAAAATTCCGCCCATGGTCGGGGTTGATGCGTGGTGGATGATAATCTGACGGCGTTCTGGCACAAGGCTAAGGTACCTTTCGAAATGAGTGAATAGCGTGTTGTAGAGATTTCTCAGAGATATGTAGCAGCTGAGAGCTAAGAGAACCGATGGTGTATTGACCGTAGAGCTTGCTAGTGTGGAAAGTTCATTTTCTCTGATCGACGTGGGATTTTCACCAGAGGGAGTGATAGCCGTCGGCAGGCCTTCGGGCGGAGAATTGGAATCTGGTTGAACTGAAGGTTGCAACTGGACCTTTCCAAGCGCATCCAAAAAGTCCTGCGTCAAGTTCAACGCACAGCCGATTAGATAGTTATCCACGCGCATCGGATTCCGCGATGAGGAGTCGCCTCCGAGCGTGTTCAACGTCTTGTCGATTCTTTCTACCAATCTGGCCACAGTTGCGCGGTGGAGCATGTATCCTCTTTTCTGTGCAGCTCTAGCGGCACTGGGAAGCCTGTAGGTTCTCCTTCGCCCTTTGTTATGCAAGAAAATGTGCTAGGCGAGATAGAAATATCTTCCAGAGTGTATGGTGCATTCACTTGCTCTGGGGATCCCCAAAATCCTGGTTCGCTTATGAGTACATCGCTGTTCATGTCATCGACCCACGATTCAGAGGACCAGAAGGACCAGTCTGGAATAATGGGATTCGAATCGGATTCAGTGGTTTGTAGCATCGACTCCGTCTGAACGTTCTCCGCAACGCCTTGTCCTCCAGTTGTTCGATTGGCGCGACTTCTGCGACTGTAGATGCACTCAGGTTTGGCTCGGGCGCACCTTGTACAACGATCGCTGTAGAACTCCGAGCCACTAGTGCATTTAAGTTTTTGGGTACGACAACGTTCGCAGGATGATCTGATCGATCGATAATTGAGTGGAGAGGACATATTAATTTAAGTAACATGAGAAGGGTTTTGACGTAGAGAAGAATAGAACTAGAGATTGATATTAATCATTAAGGCATCGCTGAAAATATATTGAAGATATATTAAAGATATATTAAAGGTACGTTAAAGATATGTTAAAGGTACGTTAAAGATATGTTAAAGGTACGTTAAAGATATGTCAAAGATAGTTGTTGACTTGCTTACTATTGATGTCGGATCTTCATATCTTGCAGCCACTTGTATAATTATTGTCAAAAACACGAATAGCTGGGAAAATTCAAAAAGAGCGCGAACGTTAAACCCACAACGTGTGCCCCTCTACATGATAGAACAACCACCCGTTTAGGGATAAAGTCCTTCACAATACTTAAAAAGTCTTTTGGGTACTTATATCTAATTTTAGATACCCTTGGAGGTTGGTTGTTAGGTATCTATGATTCAGGAAAGGGCGAAAAGTCTCTTTCCGTGAGTCTTACGGTATTGTTGATTACTCGTCAAGGAAGTAATATATTTCTAAATTCCTCTTTCGTACTTTATTTACTGTTCTTGAAAATCACACTTTGAACATTACATACCTGTGTTATACAAGTCGCTATACCTTTCGACCCGCGGTATAAAGGCGATTTAATACCTCTGTCTCCTTATCCTACTAGCCACGCTAATACTGAGAATCGGTGTGTGTTTCTAACTGCGCGATCGCTTAAGGTTAGCGGAAGAAAGTGCTCCGTTAGGTACGCGCATACAGCGCTTTCCTACCACACAGCACAAGACAAGGTATATCGTAAGCCAGCGGAAGCGAATTTTCCGTTCATCTCAGCTTCCAGACCCTTTAACATTCGCTGTTAGTAGCGAGCTGGAGGCTCCTTTACTCCCACGTGGCCATCCACTTTACGGAACCCCCGGCGCCGCCCTAACCTGGCCATTTACCCAGCGGCTAGTAGGTACGTCGTCTCTAACCTAAACTATTCTAGCTATAGCCATCGTAGAAGCATAGATGAAATACTCAAATATAGCTTGAATGCTTACAATATTGGTTTCTAACTAACGTACGTTCTATATGCGTTTCGGGCCTAATGCTGGCGCAAGAGTGGTGGTTTGAGTCATTTCGGTTGGGTTTTTGTTCCTGGTCTTTCCGCTGGGGCCTTGGCACTAAGCAAAGTAATAGTCGATACTACATACCTACGCCCTTCTAACTACAGATGTCGTACGAGTGAGAATAGAATGAAAGTACGAAAATATACATTAGATAGTTAAATCAATATCTTGCATAATATGTTATTAATATTATAACATTAGGTCTTGTTAAATTAGGACGCGGGATAGTATAATACTTACAGAAGAATCGATCCTCTAAACTAAACAATAACCCTTACCGAAAGCCGGAGCGCTGGGAGTACTTCTCATCCTACTGACTTCTTTATAGACTCGAGAGATAGCGCTCAACTGAAAATATCAGAAGCTATTACGCGAGCCAGATCCGACTGTGGTGCGTCGAGCTATTCGCAAGTGTTGAATGCCTTCGTCGGGAGTGAAAAAGGGGGGGATGCCAAGACTCCAGCCGGTAGACCCACCTACCTTAAACCAGCTGCATTAGGGCCGAACCTTAAACTTATACAGACGTCTATAAGCTCAAAGAAAGCGCTTCATCGATTATATATAACATGTATCTGCGAGCGCAATGCGACATGGTCGCAGCAGGTTATTTAGAAGACTTTATTATGAGACGTGAACGAGTTTGAGTGTTCCTACGGGGGCATATACACACATTTAAGCCTCACCGAGCCGCATATCGCACCAAATTTATAAGCGTGCATCTGGGCCAACATGTAAGCTATCAATTTACGGGTTGCCAATTCTAGTACGCTGATCAAAGAGCTTTAAGTTGGACTCGAAATCGGGATAATCGGTATCGTAGTGGATTGAAACTGTTGTGTAATCTTACAAATAAGGGTGGTATGTCGTCGATTTTCTTTTACGGAAAGTTTCAAGTTTGAAGATAGATCTCGGGATTACGCTAACGTTATTTTGAAGAATGATATGCTGATAATACTAGGTAGACCCTTTACTAATACAAGGCAATCTTTTAGCTAAAAGGGCAAGGGTGGAATGAATTCAATTTGACGCTATTGATGCTGATTCCACCATAGGGAAATTACCACATAAGAACCAAGAATCAATTTGTCTGATCTCTTGTGTCCATGAGAGCTTATAATTGTTAGTCAAACATATTAACGGTCGGAAGAAATCACTTCTTACCCTCATCTCCCTGCCATTCTTCATTCATGGCAGTTATCGGTGCCAAAAAGTCTTCAAAGACGTCTTCATTCATCGGAGATGACCAATCATCAAAATTGAAAATGGGGAACCGAATACCGAAGCTAGTAACGGTGTCTAGTCACTGTTAATATTCCAAGGAGCAAATTTACGCGTGTTCCTGGACTCACCTTGTTGGTAGTGATCGGCAGTGTAACTTGGAGAGGTTTTGATTTGCTCAAACGCATAGGTTTCGGCTTTCGGATAAGCTTGATGACCACCAAGAACCACAGTCAACGCGTCTGCTGCCTTTTGTGCCTCCTTTGACGAGTTGCTCAAGTTTGCCCATACCCTATGTGATCTCTTGAGAGAAGCCTGGACAGTCTCAACAACTGACGTTTCCAGCTCTTCACAATTCTCATGGGAAGACTTTTTCAAAGAAAAGCAGAGTATGCTTGTTGCTAGAAGAAAGTCATGGTTAACTATTGAGGTTACTCTCCAACGCTCGTGGTAAAGTTGACAACCAGGTTGTGTTTCTTCGTGGAGTATACTTTGATACTCAAGTAGCTTCAGTGCCGCATCTAGGCCGGACTTTTGTGATTGATCGTACTCCGTTTTAGTTAGTGAGAAGTTCATGTATCTTCGATGGAGAACGATTTTTGCCTTTTGAAACATAATATCGAGATGTATTTTCTGTATGATGACCTGTGGGGAGTCCGTAATACAGTGATTCATCGACCGCCATTTCAGACAATCTGGAATAGACATATAAGTCTTCTGGAGTTCTTTGTCCATCTCTATGACCTGGGTATAATCGTATGATCTTGTGTCAGCAGCAAAATCCCAAACATGACCGATAGCTGTCATCATTCTGGCCTTAACAATTCTGTACAGTATGGGCGTGAGGCCGGTTTCCGGTCGTGATGCAGGCATGCATGTTGTGGCTCTATCGAAATCGCTGTCTTGGAGGCTCAAAGGTTCGCCTACATCTGTTTGCCACTTCTTGATCAGCCTCGGAAGTCCCTAGGCATATCTAATAGTCAGTATTACCGCCTCGATAGGGATGTTCAAGAACAAGAAGGGGCAACAGTACAAAAAGAGATGTTTCAAGAATTCTAAGACAAATTTAAGAATACCTACCATTTGGGTTGAAATGCCTAAGTCAAGAACCACCACTGTTGCTCAGACACGTTTCCGCATCTCAGCCTCAAAGGGAGACATTCCTTTGAAATGAGTTGGGTCCTTGTAGTAGCCCATGTGCATTGCAAGTTGAACCATAGTCCCTAGAAGAATCCAGATACAAATTTCGGCATCTTTGTAGCGGAATACCTCAACAGCTATGTAAAGTATGAGCGTCTCAAGCACATAAGTGCCTCCTTTGATATAGTCCCCAAGAATGAGGCATTGCACGATTCTTTCCTTGAAGGTATTGATCATCTGGTCAAGATTCTGCTCCGTCGACAGGTTCGAAGAGAGGTGAATGCCGGGATCCAATCTGAACTTCTGAAATTGAGCTCCGAGACACATCAACGTGGATAAAAGTCCAAGCCATATGGCCGGTGTTGCTAATGGATTTTCCCAAAACTCCTCATACTTGGATCAGTTAGCATTGAGAAGTGTGTCTTGGGGAGAAAGAGTAAAATACCTCTTTCATAAATTGGACAGTATGAATGACAGCTATCTCAAGAATATTAATTCTATTCACAAAAGCAGCATCGCGGCAGACTGACCAGAGGATTCGAAAGAATTGAAGTAACGAGAGACCAGACGATCCACAATAGAGCGATCAGGAATCGAGGCTAGTATTTCTTGTTTGCTTGCATGTTTCGGGGGGCCAAATAATAACAACTGAGGACCCGTCGAATCAAAAAGAGGAGAATCAGGAGGCAAATGGCTGGATTGCATCTCCTTTTCGAAGTGTTCTTCGAGCTCCGTAATCTCATCTAGAACAGCGGCCCGGTGAGCGCTATTCACATAACTTGTGCCTGATCTATTTGATTGCATGCTGCCATTGTCCAAGTTAGGGGAGCTGATACTGGTAGGATCTCTAGTTGAAGGACTTGTATTCGACTGGTTCGTAGTGAGTAGTGGGCCGAGTGGGGCTGGAGTAGCCGAGGGTGAGGATTCATAGCTAGTTTCGCTTGTTGATGTTTTTTGCATCAGATCAACAACCATGTGTTCCAATTGATGGATCCTGTCTTGTAATGTAGGCGCTGGCTCGTGTACACCACGATCGGTCCGTCGTAACGCACCGGGGGGATAAGCACAAGAAAGTCCCAAGCATCGCTGTGAGCAAGATCCACAAGGGTGCTCTCGATCGCAACGCATTCTGATGGGAAACAAATAAGATATGGTGAAGGTTAGAATCAAAAGCAGGAGTTAATCACTTAATTCCTTTGTCTGCAAGGATTGCACGATAGCCTAGGTGGTTCTCGTCGCCTGCTAGAAGGTAAGCGTGCTCGACCCCTGGCCGTTTTGCCAGGGCCCCATTCCACAATCTGGCGCTCTTCCGACCCAGACAAGGTTCGGTCAGATCATTCGCCTTAGCTCTTTTGAGATGCTCAGCACCATTACTATTTCCGAATCCAGTTCTGTCATTTCGCTTACGGAGCTGGACCACCCGCTGTTTTCTACCATGAATGCAGGAAAGCTGGATGCTTTGAAAACACTCTGGCACCAGAGTGGAAATATCCTTTGGGTCACTACCGGTGCTAGAGCGATTAATCCTCATTGTTACATGACTCTTGGTGTAGGGCGTTGTATGAGATTCAAGTATCCTAACATCACCCTCGAGATGCTCGATATCGACCGTGTCACCAATGGGACTTCTGCTCTCATAGCAGAACACTTTATTCGCTTGGAAGTGCTTGATAAATGGTCACGAGAATTGAGAAAAGAGGACTTCCTTTGGTCTCTTGAACCAGAAATGTACGTTGAAAACGACATAACTGTTATCCCGAGGCTATACCCCTACGATGCCGGAAATAAACGATACAACGCTTCTCGTCGAACTGTGAGCGAAACTATTAACCTCCAAGAATCAAAACTGCTCCTTGCTGGTGACAACGAATCATGGGAGGTGCGGATTGCCTCTCCACTGCATATTTCAACCCCATTATCGTTTACAACAGATATGCATACGATACACGTGACAAATTTCTTGCTGTCCACGATCAGTATGCTCCCTGGGTGTCGACTGATGGCCTGTACCGGTATCAATATGGCCTCAAGTGAGAATGTTCTCGCGGTCACTCATAGCATAGAAACTCCAGTGTCCATCCCTTCATCTTGGTGCATACCCATCGGTAAAGTTGACCCAATAAAAGCGCTTGGTGTTTTCTCATCTCATATAATGGCACGTACCATCCTACGACTATCAAACACGGGCGATCAGTTTATTGTTCATGATCCTCATCCGACGGTCGCCAATGTCATGCATGCCATGGCGGACGATAATTCTTTCAGGGTTCATTTTACCACTTCAACCCAGAAGAACGTCAAAAAAGGATGGCATTACCTCCCTGAGAATATCTCTGAACGCGTTGTCCGACAAATGCTGCCCTCAACTGCGACAAAATTTATCAATATGTCTCTAGGACGTGAGATTTCTGCCATCGAGAAACTCATAGTTCGATGTTTGCCTCCACATTGCGAAATCACTGATCCCTCGCGGCTTTTTGGTACTGGCGCATTTGTCAGAGCATTTGTCTCTGAGAGCGAAGTTTCTTATGAGTTAAAACTAGCTCTAAAGAGTATTGACTTGCTTGCACAGCGGGATACTTTTGTTTCTGATGTGCCTGCAATTCAAATTCAGAATATTTCAGACAACCAAGTCATTGCTGCCCAACAGTTTGCCATTGCGGATTGCACTAGTCCTTCAATTACGACTGCAATTTCTCTCATCGACGAGGGTGCGATTTTCCAACCTGATAAGACTTATTTTTTTGTTGGTCTCTCCGGCGAGCTAGGCCAATCGCTCTGCAGGTGGATGGTCGCTCATGGCGCAAGGTACATGGTGCTCACTAGCCGAAGTCCCAGTATTCACCCTAATTTACTTCGTGAAATGGAAAATATGGGTGCTAGCATCAAGGTTATGTCAATGTAAGTTGCACTGCCTCCAAAAAGTGCAAGATAAACGGCTAATTGCGTCAAACAGGGACAGCACTGATCGTCAGTCTTTGTACGTGTGTCATGAATCAATAATAAAGTCCATGCCTCCAATAGGAGGTGTTGCAAACGGTGCCATGGTTCTCGAGGACTGTTTACTCGAAAACATGTCCTACGAAGGTTTGACCAAGGTTCTAAGCCCCAAAGTTCTTGGGTCTCAGCTTCTGGATGAGCTATTCCACGATGTGCCTCTTGACTTCTTTATTTTATTCTCCTCTGGGACAGCTGTTATAGGAAATACCGGACAAAGCAACTACATCGCGGCCAATATGTTCATAAACTCTCTTGCTGCGCAAAGGAAAAAGCGTGGCGTTGCCGGATCATCTATTAATATCAGCCCAGTCATAGGCATTGGATATGTTGAGAGGGCAGAAGATCCTAGCGAAGATAATTTCACCAAGATTGGTTACAAGCCAATGTCGGAGCAAGACGTGCAGCTGTTGTTCGCTGAAGCCATTATGCTCGGTCGACCAGATTCTTCCGAAATATGTGAATTAACCACTGGAATAACGCCAACTTTCACAGATGCCCAATTTAAAGACCAATATCTGAAAGATGTCAAGTTCGGCCACTTTCTCACGGAACGCCAGAGTATGCATGATCAGGGCGGCAACGTATCTTCGTTACCGGTAAGATTGCAGCTTGCAGGAGTTAAGACAAAGGCGGAAGCCATTTCAATCATCAGAGGTAGATCAAAATTCCCCATTGGACTATCAAACATCACTGACGCAATAATAGAGTCTTTCATGGCCAGATTGAGCAGAATCCTAGCTGTTTCGCCAGAGGAAGTCGTAAGCGAAAAGGTAACCCTTGTAGAGCAAGGTATAGATTCCCTCATGGCTGTTGAGGTACGTACTTGGTTTCTCAAGGAGCTGGATGTCGATCTTCCGGTCCTCAAGATCCTGGGTAGCAGCTCGATCAATGATCTGCTGGATCAAGCTTCCACGCTATTGCCACCTTCTGTTGTCGCTTTCTCGGCGCTTGCCGCTGGTCAAGAGCCAATGGCCGGGAGAAGCAGTGAATCTTCTGTCAACACTGGAGCATCGCCAGGATCCTTTCGCTCAGCGGTCGATGACGCTCAAAGTATTCAACCCTTGGTTCTACTACAGTACACACTGAAGTGGACACACTCGCACCGTTGAATGTTTCCATGTCCTCTCCCACATTCGACTACGAGCGGCCTGGCGAAACTTCAACTACACAACATCCATCCGGCACTTCCAACCAGCCTCTCGATGAGTCCTCCAGTCCGATGTCATTCGTCCAAGCGGCATTTTGGTTCTTCAACGAGTATCTCTCCGATAAAAAGGCGTTCAATGTGGCCGTAATGTTGAAACTTACCGGCTCCGTTGATATAAGTTCGTTTGAAACTGCCGTGGAAGTAATTGGAAAACGCCATGAGATCCTCCGTACTCGGTTGTTCTACTCAATAGAAGGCAATGATCGAACGCCTATGCAGGGAATCAGACAAACCTCAGCTACGAGATTAATCACGAAACGACTAGCTTCGGAAGCAGAAGCAGACTTGGAGCTTCAACGCATTCACGACAAAGAGTGGGATCTTTCGAGTGGAGACACAGTGAACATATCTCTTCTTTCCTTAAACGACCAAACCCATTTTCTCCTCATCGGGATGCATCATATCTTCCTAGATGGATACAGTTTCAGTATCTACTTCAAGGATCTCGAAGATGCTTACAGAAAGCATACTCTGCCAATCTTAGCAGCTGAATCCCAGTATCGTTATTTTGCCACTCAGCAGAGACAATTGTACGAGAATGGAGGACTGGACAAGATCATCAACCACTACCGGAAAGAGCTTTCTACACAACCCAAGCCTATTGAACTATTACCATTCGCCAAGACAGTGACAAGAGAGGTCGTGAACTACAGCCAGCACGAAGCAACCGTGGACATAGATGCTAGTCTTGCTGCAAAGATACGACAACTAGCACGGCAAAATCGATCTACTTCTTTCCACGTCTATCTGAGCGCTGTGCAAGCTCTCCTGTTCAAACTACTCCCCGACACCAGAGATATTTGGATCGGAATTGCAGATGCTAATCGCGGGAACAAAGACACCATGAACAGCGTAGGATTCTTCCTAAATCTTCTTCCGCTGCACTTCCGCAGACATGATTCATCCTCTACAGTTGATTCTACCATAAGAGCGGCGCGCGATATAGCATACGAGGCATTGCAGTACTCCCAGTTGCCTTTTGATGTGCTTCTAAGAGAGGTGCAGGTTCCAAGATCAAACGCGCACACACCAATATTTCAAGTTTTCTTGGATTACAGACAAGTTGTGCAAGAGCGGGCCGATTGGGGAGACTGCAAAATCGAAGATGAGAAATGGCGCAACGCTGCCACCGGATATGATATTTCGCTAGAAATTACTGAAAAGGTCAACTCTTCTACGGCAATCAGCCTACGGCTTCAAGATTCGCTATATTCTCAAGAAAATACTCAGCTTTTCCTCCGTTCTTACATTAAAGTCCTCGACTTCATGGTCGAAAATCCACAGAAACATGTTCAAGACATTGGAGCTTGGTCCACATTTGATCTTCAGACAGCTCTGTCAATAGGTAAAGGTAAGTCATTTTGAATTGGAGGTGACACGGAGATGACTGACTGAATGCGTAAAAGCACACGAGTTCAACTTCGAGTGGAAACCTGCAATAAGCCACCGGATCGATGAGATTATTAGAAACCACCCTTCCGAAATTGCTTTGAAAGACGGCAACGGAAATGAGTTGACATACACGCAAATGGAGGTTCGAGTTGACGCTATAGACCGAGTCTTCCGAGATTCTGGGACAATCAAGGGAGCTATCGTTGGTGTGTTTAAAGAACCATCCTCGGACTGGATTTGTTCAATGCTGGCTATCCTCAGGGCTGGTGCAGTATATGTACCGCTCGACCTACGCAATTCCATCCCACGTCTCGCTAGCATTGTCAAAGCCGCCGTTCCTACCATAATTCTCACAGATAGCGCCACAACCACACAGGTCGAGTCCATTGGGGCTAGTAACGCCAGAGAGATAACAGTGTCCCGCTTGTCGAACTCGCAAATGGCCGTGACCTCACTGCCAAATCATGCAATGGCCAACGCTCAAGCTGTCATTCTTTTCACAAGCGGTCCCACTGATGAACCAAAGGGCATTGTGATGACCCATGAAAATATCGTGGCATCTGCGGAAGCGTCCAGCACCACTTTCGCGAACTCTCAGAGCCGCCTGATCGTGTTGCAGCAGAGCCCTTTCAGTTTTGACCTTTCCCTCGACCAGATATTTGCTGCTCTGGCCAAAGGAGGGTGCCTGGTTATCGTGCCAGCCCGCAGTAGGGGAGATCCTATTGAAATCAGTAAGATAATGATTGCCGAAAGAGTGACTTACACGTGCGCCACACCTTCCGAGTATGCCATGTGGATGAGGTATAGCTCAGATTATCTGCGCCGTTGTAAGTCTTGGGAATATGCATTCTCAGGCGGCGAAGCAATGAGCCATGGGCTCGCGCTCGAGTTTCCAAACCTGGAACTTCCTGGCCTCGATCTTTTCAAAGGTTATGGACCAGCAGAGACGACAATGTACTCAACGAAAATTGAGCTAGAATGGTCAAATCCACAACTTCCAGATCCTTTGCCAGCCGGATTTATGCTACCAGGATACTCGGTCTGCATCGTTGATTCCAACTTACAACCGGTCCCTTCTGGTGTATCTGGTGAAATCATCATTGGCGGGCCCTGCGTTGTGTCAGGCTATCTTAACGATGCCGAATTAACGAAACAAAGGTTCATTCCCGATGTTTTCTTCGGGAGTCCTAACAACGTTTATCGAACTGGAGATCGGGGTCGTCTTCTAGGAGATGGCACTCTGTTCTGTGATGGCCGTCTTGACGGAGATACTCAGGTCAAGGTGCGCGGCTTTCGCGTGGAGATGGAAGAGGTCGAAAAGGTGCTGGTTAATTATTCCGCAGGTGTCCTTCTACACGCAGTTGTCACGCTTCGGGGGCATGGGGAGGGAAGCCATTTGGTGGCACACGTCGTGTTTGCGAACGACTACCCACCCGAGAAACAGGAAGAGAAAGCACAGTCCCTTTGCCACAGCCTCCCACTGCCCTCTTACATGCGGCCGTCCATGATTATAACATTGGCGGACATTCCCAAGACTCCTCATCTCAAAATCGATAGAAAGACTATCGAAGCAATGCCGCTTCCTAGCAAAAGAAACGGTTCTTACGCCTCCAATACTATCACTATTGCAGAGCGGATTATGTCAGAGCTCTGGCGGGACATTATGCCCATCGACCCCGGACCACTTACCGCAGACTCTGACTTTTTCTCGCTGGCGGTAACTCAATTCTTCTGGTGAAGCTGCAGTCGATGATTCAGAAATCATTCCACACTACCCCAAAACCTATCACTCTCATGGCAGCCAGTACTCTTAGGGAAATGGCTACCACTGCTGATAGCCTCCCAGCCAGCAAAATTGACTGGGAGGTAGAGACATGTCTACCAGATCCTACGCAGAGAGTCTTGCCGACATTGAAGCGTAGCACGGAGCGTACCATGAAGGAGAAAGGCTTCACAGTTTTGCTGACCGGATCGGTGGGTTTTCTTGGACGTCATCTGCTTAGAAGCATGATTGGAGATTCCAAAATTTCTCGAATTATCCTTTTGCTTCGCCATGTCGAGACCGCCAAAATTCTTGAAGGTTTAGAGGCAGAGAAAGTAATCATCATGAAAGCCGACCTTTCGAGGCCTCATCTCAGCCTTCAAGAGGAGTCTTTTGACACACTCGTGGATGAAACGGATGTTATTATCCATTGTGCTGCCAATCGATCGTTTTGGGATAGATATGATGTCCTGCGACCTGATAATGTCGACTCGGTCAAAGAATTGACCCAACTGGCTGCTGTCCACGCCATTCCAATGCATTTCATCTCATCGGGCGCTGTGGAATCCTACATGGATACGAACACCAATCCGCCGAATGACGGTAGCGATGGTTATGTATCTACAAAATGGGCCGCGGAGGTATACCTTGGACAGGCTGCCCCTATGTTGAACATGCCAATCACTATTCATCGGCCAAGTAACAGTCTTTTTGCTACGTAAGTGATAGGCTTTTTACTACGGCACAAAGGCACGTGGGAGTACTGGTAAGGGTTCGTAAGCAGTCTTTCTACTACGACTAAAGTACGGCACGAACTTCGAATATACGTCGGAGTACTATGGACGTTATCTAGGGTCCAGCTAATTTCCAGTAGTTTTACTACTTAGTACTCGTACTAATTAGACTTACTATAACCTATAATACTAATTAGTAAGCCTCTTAGGAGTACTCCTAACCTTTCCTATCTAGTACCCTAGCAAGGATAAGGAGTATATTAATTAGTTCGGAATAGAAAAAATAAGGGAGCCTAAAATCCTTAATAGAAAGGCCTTAGATAGGAGTATAAATAGGAAAGTACGGGAAAGGAACGGACAAGAGATATTACATACTAGCTAGATACAAAAGGTATATAGGTAGATACAAGTATTTATATATTTTCATATCCTAATTATAGTATAAACACTCCTACTCCTCTCCCTTCCATTTTCTATAATCAATGTATATCTAACCAATCTATCCCCCCTTATAAACAACCACCCAAGGATCAAAACCTACTATCGCAACCACCCACATTTCCATCCACTCGTCTCAAAGTTCCAATCTATAAACAATCTATAAGCCTCTAAACAACCCAGCAAACAAAAACACAAATACCACCTCACCCCTATGCCCCAAAAAATGCACGACAAACAACCACCAGCCCGTAAATACAACCCCCAGCTAAACCATCTACAAATCCAATCTACAGCCCCTACCTCTAAGTGAACCACCTATATACTCAATCCACACAACCTCAATCAACCTTCTTATCCAATCCATCATTCCAAAACACACACATCTCCAATCTCCAATTTCCCACCCAAATCCAAACCCAAATCAACAGCACGATAGCCTCGGTATAGATATATCTAGATCAAGAAGAGGTTCTCACGCCCTACTAACCGGCATCCCAATCCCATACTCATTATCAGCACCATTCGGATCGAATCTATTCACACACACAAACACACGTATTAGCAAATATCCCAGATCCAATTTTTTTCTCCAGTGGTGCACCCCCAAATCCAATACTCTTCAGGCAACCCCCCAAAATATTATCAACATCAAAATTCAAACAAAGAATCACAATCCAAAAAAAAAAAAGAAAACATAAAAAAAAAACTCACCCCATCTCCCCAAGTACCTCCTTACTCCAAAAAATCAACGCCTCAAGTTCCCTCACACAACCCGTTAGAGCACGGGAGTAGCTATAACTATAAATCATACTCCATCTGCTGACGCCATTAACGGGACTAGAGCTTTCGTCGTCGTCGATGGGGGAGGAGAGATCCCTGTCGCGGTCTCGTGCTGAATCGGCTTCTACTTCGGCCATTTTGTCTAGCAGGTTTTTTCGTGCGAGGGCGGGGGAGGGGAGGTAGCGCTTGGGTTGTTAGTGGTTATATAGGAGAGAATGA